TTCTATAATCTGATAATATTATGGAATAAATTATGATATTTTATTTTTATAAGAGTTTACAACTTTATCGGTAATGTACTTTTATTTCATCATATAATAAAGTTTTTTTTATCTTACAAGTAGATGTAGGCATACTTGTCCAACTACGTTAAATTTTTTATTTTTTCTCTTATTTTACTGTTTACTTTGTGTGGTTATGTGTATATTATAGATTTTATTTTCTCAGCTGTATCATATTTCATCTAAAAACCTTAGAATATCTATTACTAGATTTATGAATTTTTTGTACCAAATTATGTTTCCAATAGGATTGGTAATGACTTCAAATTATTTTTAAGTTTATTATTTATGTATAATTTTTACTTGCATCATATGGTTGTGATACCACCTTAGTAATTTTTTTTTACCCTTTTCTCTTTACTCGAGTTTATTATTTTTCTCCATTTTCTTCATTCCCAGTGTGCTCTATAAAGCTTTAGATATTTTTAAAGAAAATTTGGGAAGAATTTTTGTCATTTTATTTATTTCACTTGCTGAAGGTAAAACGAATAAAATCTCAAACTCTTAATAGTACTCTTTAATAAGACTTCTTAAAACCTAATAAATAATTGAACATTAGAAAGCTTGTTATTCTATTCAATTTACTTGGACAATCATTGCCCTCCAAGTTATTTTGTCAATTACAAATTAAGCATAATCAATGGACTTCACTACTGCTAAACAAGATTTTTTATAGGTGACTTGAAGAAGAGAGACTGAAACCCTAGAAACACATGCATTATTGGCTGTTTAAACGTGCATTTGGTGCATATCAGAGCAAGTTACAAAAGTTCTTTTTTATATGAGATAAATCTATGCATGTTATTAAAAAAAAATATGCAGTTCAACGGGTTCAATAATTGTATTATTATCGGTTTTTAATAATATTTAAAACTTTATGATTTTAGATCACGTTGAGGGCGAAGAAGATGGAGAAGACAATAACCTCCCTGGATAAAGGATATTGGGTAAAAAAAAAATTACTGACATGAACACTGATGTGACGATAATGTCATAAAATTTAAACGAAGTGATGAATCACTTGATATAGCGCTTGCTACCTCAGCAATTATCAGATATGTTTAGTAAACAATGAAAATTTTAATTAATTTTAAAAAATACAAAGAAAATTTAGAAGTAAAAAAATAGTTCATCATGAATTTTGTGATGTTATTGTATAATGCATGCGGATATTTCAATCTTTTAATTAAATTTAAAAATTTGAGACTATTAAAATATCAAATAGCATAGATGGATCTAATGGAGATGAGAAACTTTGATTGTTTTTTAGAAGTACTGAGTAAAATTTTCAAAAAAAAAAGTAATTTATAGAAAATTATGAACATATTTTTGTATTATATAAAAAAATAATACAAAAATAATATATATATATATATTATATACATATCATAAACTTCTCTCTTTCTCTCTCTATATATAGATGGATTATATTTGACTCTCTCTCTCTCTCTCCATACATAACTTCTCAGCTTTAAGGATGAACATTTTTTAATCTGAAAAAAAAAAAAAAACTCAACTAGATGGATATATATTAAATATATAAATAATATATACGTCGTTTCATAAAAATTAAAATATAAATAATATATTTGAAAATTAAATTTTTAAAGCAAATTTAGATCGTTTGGTCCAAGACGTAAATATTAATAATTTTTTAATATTAGTTGAAGATTTAACATATAAAAAAAAAAAAAAAATGACATTGATAACATACAAAATCATTGTGTTATAGTTTTTTATTTTTATTTTATAAATTAATATTTGCATCGATTGGGCCCAAAATTTCACTGGGAAACCTCAGACACAATCTTCTATGTGTTTATTGGGCTTCTATCAAACCAAAAAGAGAAGCCAACTTAGGAAAGATAATGCTTTGCCATAATAATGGCCTGCAAAATAATTACTCCTTGGTTTAATCAAATCATCAAATTAAGAGCGTAATTAGTTTGTTAATCATTTTGATTATTTTATTTTAAATATTTAGCAAATTATATATAAATATCACAAAATTTAGAGAATATAAATAAATAAATAAATAAAACCCAAAATTAGGAAGGGTTTAACCAGGGTTTTCTTTTTCTTTTTTCAATATATTTTTCCCTTACCCTGCTCCTACCCTACTCACCCGTCAGTGGTCAGCAGTCACTCACTCTCCAATCTCCATCACTTCACTCGCTCTATTTTCGCTTCTCTCAAAACATGAGCTCACTGAGTCAACAACTCGAGCCATGACTCAGGCACAACACAAACCCCAACGCCATCGTCACTCCACCTGCCATCGCCACCCAACTTCCAAACCTATTACCGGCTTCTGCGCTACGTGTCTCTGCGAACGCCTCGCCGGGATAGAAAACCAGTCTCCTTCTTCTTCCTCCTCCTCCGCCGTTCCCGCCGCCGCCATTAACGCCTCGCTTCGCCTTCGACGCACTAAGTCTTGCTCCGGCGGAAACCCTGAGGAAGGTGACGTTTTTTCCGCTGTCTCCGAGCAGCCGCGCCGGAGATCCTGTGATGCTAGGGCACACAACACACTCCATGACCTCTTCTCCGTAGACGACGAGAGAAAAAGGAACACGATCCGGAAGCCTCGGGTTTCGGATTTGGGGCTTGAGTTTCCGGAGAATGTCGAGGATGAGGAAAGGGGGAAAGAAGAAATCAGGTCTGCTAATAAGAGTAAGGAGAGGCTCGTGGTTGAAGACTTCGAGGATGGAGCTGACTTGAAGACAATGAAGGAGTTCATAGATCTCGAATGGGGAAAACGTACCAAGAAGAGCACCAGCAGAGATTTCAAAGAAATTGCTTCGGTGTTAGGAAAAAAAGTCAAGAAATGGACGCAAAGGCAAAAGTACAAGAAAACCGATGAAATACACAATGGGGGATATGTTGGCGGGAGGCGATTGAGAGAGACCAAGTCGGAGGTCGGCGAATACGGACTCGGCCGGAGATCTTGCGACACGGATCCGAGGTTGTCCGTTGATGCCGGGAGGATTTCAGTTGATGATTCGCGGTTTTCGCTTGATGAGCCCAGAGCTTCTTGGGATGGGTGTTTGGCTGGCAAGAACTATCCTCGGCTCACGCCGATGGATTCGGTTGAGGAAGACGTTAAGGCAACGCCTGTAAATTTTGATGCTGGTAAAGAAGAGGAGGGTGATGAGAAGCAGAAAAGTCCCGGTGGATCAGCTCAAACGAGAGACTATTACGCGGATCCGTTGTCGTTGCACCGGCGGAGAAGGAGCTTTGATCGCTCGAATTCAGTCAAGAGAGGTTTGCTGGAGGTTGATGAAGTGAAGGCAATATCCAATGCAAAGGTATCCCCTGAGACAGTCGGATTGTTCCATGGAGCAAAACTGCTGGTCACAGAGAAAGAGTTGAGGGATTCCAATTGGTATTCCCTTAAAGATTATGGATCAGAGAGTATAGATTCTGCTTCAAAAGCTGTTGGGTATGCTGGTAATGAGGTTAGTGAAAAAGGGTTGTTCAGCTTCAAGAATTCAAAAATGAGTCGCAGTGTCTGGAAAATCTGGGGTTTGATGCAGAAGAAAAGTGAAAGCAAGTGTAGGGATGATGAAGAAAAGCCTGTTCCAGGAAATGTGGTTGAGGGTTCATTAGCTGAGTCTCTGCAAAAGCTAAGGAGTGTGGCTAATGGAGAACCCAACGGCAGTGTTAGGCAGAAGCTTATCCGCAGCTACAGCATCAGCGCAAGGAACTCCTGTGATGGATTATTTAACAGCATTAATAGCAGCATTGAAGGTGGCAGGAGTTCCTGCGACGGATTGTACCATGGAGTGATTGGTGTCGAGGTCAAAGGTGATAGTGTGAAGAGGAAAGACAACCTTTTGCTACAGAGGAACCGGAGCTCGAGGTATTCTCCTAATAATCTTGATAATAATGGGCTGTTAAGGTTCTATTTGACACCATTGAGGAGCTATAGGAGAAGCCAATCTGGGAAAAGTAGGCTAAAGAACTAAAATTCTATAGGAGGGATTGTCATGTAACTGTTCATCTACTTGTTATCCCACTGAATATTATGCTGTAATTAATGTGTTTCTCCTTGTTATTCCATAGATAAAAAGCACATTATAATGTTCTGTCTTTATTTGCTTTCTTTCACATGTTTTTCTAATAATGCATCAATGAGAATCAGATTAGAATTTTGTTACTGTCTTTTCTTTTACACTGGAAAATGTTTGGGCGAGGTAGCATATCTGTATTTGCTAAAAATAAGATCCTCTCATTTATATTTGTTTAGGATTGTCTATTGCTGTTTCAGATTCATCTATAATATCAAGTTTGGAAGTGTGGAGATAATTTGTTTTTTGGCTGTGAATATCTTGGAAATCACTTTTAATTGATTAGTGATTGCCATCTAATGTAAGAATGAAATGTAAGTAATTACTTGAAAATTTCAGGTCTTAAACAGGATTAGCAAAAAGGGTAAATTACACATATGTTGCTCAGAGTATATTCCTTACTCGAAAATAGAAGTTTCTGTTTTGGTCACTCTGGTCAGTTGGGTGTTGCTAAGTCATATATCAATTTAATCACTCTGTTACCAAGTATTAAATTAGACTGGTAAATATCATCTTTAGAGTCAAAGTATCACTCAGGATGATGTTGTACGTTATCTACCCACATAATGATCAGGCAAACTTTGGTATGCAATTGGTTATACATGGACAGTGCAATTGTGGATAAGCCATAATGCCCCTGAGGCACCGCAGTGGCATCCGGTGTAACCATTCCACTAGCTATACGTGCCTGGTCAATAAGCGGGTGAGTAATTAGGCTGTAGCAATTGTTTTTGCTACATCAGCATTCTCATGGGCGATAATCAACTACTTCCCTGATTTTAGATGTTTGATTTAGTAATTGGTGGCAAAATCAGAGCTATGTAATAACTCTGGTGATTAGAAGAGAAAGTTAAACTTGGATAGTGAAAATGAATCTCATTCTATAACCTATTCTGAAATAACCTCTAAATATTTATTGCATTATTTACCATCAGAAGCCTTGGCAACAAAGTAGATTTAAAATTTAGAAATCATAAACCCAATGAATCTCAGAAAGTAGATTTAAGATACTATTCATATACTATCAACGTTTCAGGAATCTCAGAAAGGTATTAGATCTGTCAACTTTGTCAATTTTAGTTTGTTGATTTTTGACAAGAGAAGTAATTGGGAAACTTGATGTTCTAACTCATGGCAAGATAGCTTCATGGGTATTGTCTGGTTCCCGTCATAGCGTAAATTAATGGTTGATGAAGTTTTTGAACCTTAGGTGTCTGGTCTCCATCACACTTACGTTGCCATGTGTAATGGGGTGCTTGAAGTTTCCTTCTTCGCTTTTTTGTTATTTTCTCACACCTTCAATGAATAATCCTTACCTAGTGGAAATGTTACACTTAATAGATTGTATTATTGAGTTGTTATAATCTCGTGTGTGATACTGTCTATTATCTCTTTCTAGAAACTGGGAAAACGTGTGGCTGGCCTTCATACATTTGTCTTGAACTGGGTCTATTTAAGTGGGGTACCCTACAAGCCTTATGTTTGGTCTTTATTGCATGAAAATATACATTTGAGGTTGGATGTCATCTAGCAAAGACTTCTTTGTTACATTTCCTTTAGTGCCAGCAAAACATATCCAGCTCCTTTAAAGGAATTGCCTAGACATCATTTGTTTTGTTTTTAACTGCAGATATTTTTCTGTTTGAAACTAGGTGACTGCAAATCTGAAAAGCATAAGTAGACCATTAAACGAAAAATTCCTTTACAATATATAAAACTCTAGGCTTTATTATATACTGTTTCTATTAACACAAAAAATCCACCTTTTCCTCCAAAGTTATTTTAGTTTTAACAGTCTGTTAAAAAATGAAAGTCTGACTCTTAATTCCTCAACATTTCCGTATCACCGAGAAATTATTGTGCAGTCTGCGACTATAAATGGTGAATCTGGTCCTTGAAATTTCATTGATTCATCTTATTTGTTGGAAACCTATGTGTGGTTTTCTAACAAAAAGCTGAGATGATCCAATGACAATTAAGGGTGAGTAAATTTTTCCAGAAGGACTAGTGAAATTTCAAGAGCAAACCGCATTACTTGTAGTTCAGGACTACAAATAATTTCTCCAGTAAAAAGAAATCTTTTGTGCACGTTTATCCAATCATTTATGCTTCCACCATTTTACTTCCTCTGCTATGAGGTAGATATTGAAGTTACTGATTATAGCAAGGGCTCTGCCATATTATTGCTAGAACTGAATTTTTCAGGTTACATACAGTTTTGAAATATTTTATGGCATATTAAGCCCTTGGAGCTGAATGATAGTGTTATAGAAGATGTCGGATTCATATCCGGGTTATTCTCATCTGTTATCGAAAATAAAAAGACAAAAAAAGAGAGGCAAATGTGATTCTGGAAATAACATGTTTGGAAACCTAATAAATCGCTAAGAAGCTTCGGGAATATTGCCAATAATTGATTCTAGTAAGTTATTTTATCCCTTGGGTGAACTTGGAATGGTATAGTTTTCTTCATAGGATCCCTCAGCTTCTTCAGAGGATCAATTGGGGCCTAGAATGGTATCCTACAAAGGAGACAGCTTCTACAAATTTATGTCCTGTGTCACTTGGTTTGATTCTCTGTTGTGCAGAGATTTCTCCATACATATTTTCTTCAAAAGTTCTTCAAAAGTTTTCATCTTGTTTCTTTTTTTTTCTACTGTTACCATGATACCTATTTAACAAGTTCAGTTTTAGTATGCGGGTTATCTGTGAAGAGCAAATATGAAGATCTATTTAGTTTAATTAAGAGTGAGAATTACATTATAATTATAAGGTTTTACTCAAATTAATCTCTAATTTCTTTGGCTATTTTGATGGTTTTTTAATTATTTAAGGTAAAATTGACATTGTTTGAGAAAACATATCTGACATAAAGAAAAAGATAATAATCTAGAACATAATAATTTTATATTGAATGACAAAAATCAAATTACTGGGGATTGAATTCTCTTTCTTTTGAAAAAAAAAAAACAATAGTGTTAACCTAAATAGAACAAATATAAGTTTAACTCTCTTATTAAATATACATCTTAAAGCACACGGTTAAAGCTATTTTATACAATCTGCATTTAGCTGCAAATATAATCCTAGATAGAACAAATATAAATTTAGCTCTCTTACTAAGTATTCATCTTATAGCACACAGTTAAAGCTATTTATACAATCTGCATTTAGCTAATTCTAGATGGGATATTTCATGGTTAAATTCAAAAGAGTAAGGGGAGAGGAGGATGATGATGATAATGACAAAGCCTCCTCCTCTCCACCCATTTCTCAATCAACAAGATTCAATAATTTCTGCCTCTCAAGATTATCTGATGAAGACAGTCATGATTGATTTAACAATAGCTCCAACAGTACCAACAAATTCCTTGTCAAAACATATTCAGACTCTGTCTCACTCTCCAAACTTTTATGCTTCTCTTGCTAGTCCCACAAGTTTTATTCAATGTCCAGGGTAGATTTCAATGAGGCTAACTGATTCAACTTGAGGGATAATTTGACTGTAGTACTTTCTAGTGTAATAAATAGTGGATAGGACTCTCTTAATCAATAAAAATCTATATCTATTTCATAAACATGTGAGTGCCTCAAATAAAAATTTGAGGCTAAAATATGAAGCTGAAAAAGATAAGGAATCGTATTACATTATATTCTAACCAAAAATCACATGGTAATTTGTAAAGTAACACAATTAAGTGATTATTAAGGTGATCTATATTTTATACTGTGAGTTTTAAATTATTGTTGATTAAAAATATTTACTAAAAAATTATTTGATATTTGATAAAAATAACTGTAAAACGTGTTGCGTCAAAAAATTAAAAACTTTGTATTTGGTGAAATTGATTTTAAGTGTAAATTTATAATAAAAATCAAACCTATTTTCTAAAATTTACAATTGTAACTTTTGGTTCTAATGTTATCAAAACCAAATTTTGACTTTAACTATTGCCAAAAGCACTTTGTATTTCATCTATTTAGTTATAAAAGTGTTTTTAAAACATAAAAAGTCACAACCAAAAACTGTAACAAATAAGACCTAAATATATAACTCACTGAATTTTCATACTTTATTGATGTGGTATAAAGATTCGCATATAATTTTTTTATTGTGCAGCATGGAAATGAGCAGGCAAGCATCGACAAAGTAAAACAATGAAGTAATGATAAATTTTTTAGTTCAGATAGCATATTAATATATAACTCAAAAACATATAATGGTAGGTTAAAGAACCAAACTGATATATTTACATATCCTAATTCTTGATCAACTAATAGATAGATATATAAGCTACTACATATTCTGATTCTTGGGCAACATGGATCTGGAAGTAATATCTGTTATTGTATTGTAAAAGAAAAATTTATCTAATTGGTTATATAATGAATGGACCCAATAAATTACTCACCGAAGCAAAAGTACAATCATGTAGCATGCATCCAGTAAATAACATATCAAAGGGATATCCAAGTTTGACAATCAAGCAAGAGACTACCTGTCTTAGAGACAAATCATATCATATATGAAACATAAAACACCAATAATCTTAAGCTATATTCTGAACTAGCTTTCCACAACACAGCTTTCCCATGAAACTGCTTCTCAATTCAATCATACGAGATTCATTTATGATTATCAGAAACAACATATCTGTATATAACCCATGTTTTATAAAGACCTATATAATGCACCATTCATGAACAAAAAATAAGAAGAAAAAAGAGCAGTGTTTGATGAGAAAAGGAAAGAAAAAAAAACTGTCATTCAACATCATACCCTTTCTCCTGGAGCTCAGAGATGACCTCATTCCTCATCCTTACCCACAACTTCTGTGCTTCCTGCTCCAACTTCTTGTTCTCCAACTCCTTCTGGTAATTATACGAGTCTTTGTCAGACTCCATGATCCCTTTGGGACCAATAGAAGTGCCAATCATGCCTCCCTTTGCGACGAACTCTTCCATGGCCTCCGCGTCACCTGGGTAAGGAAACTCTCGCCGCTCGTAAAGGTGGGCTAGTTCTCTCTCCTCCTTTGGTCTAGGCTTCAGAGTCCACCAACCCAATGGTGATGTCTCGTTGTAGACCCATGCTACTCCGAACAGCGTGTATGTGCAGAGTAGCGCCTTGCCCACTTGCTTCCAGAAGTAGTAATCTTCTTTTCCCAATCCTATCTTCTTCAAATATTTCTGGGCATTTAATGATTTCATCAACTGAAGTCCTGAAACCGAATTTTTCTAAAGACAATTCAGATTGAAGAAAAGACTTTATCTTGCTTCATTCAGGAATTTCATCGAACAGTTTCAGGGTGCTCTTTAAAAGAGCTAAAAACGAAAGATATTAATGATAAAAGTAACGAAACTTCCCAAAAAGAAGACAAATAGTAACCCGAGAATCATATGAATTTTCATGGTGAGAAGGCTTTTGATGTACAACAATAAATTCCTTTTACCTGTTTTGGCTTCCTGATACCGTTTGCGAATCATTCTGAACTAGGCGATGAGAAGAAATAAGAGAGGAGAGACTCAGAGTTCAGGACTCCAGCAAACAGAAATTAAACCCCAGGGAAAAGGAAACGTGAAACTACACCGTTTTACGTGTATTTTTTGGTTTCTAAAATATTTGATAAAAAGTATAATATGAAAAACTTGAGAATTCATTTTGGTAATTTAGCTTCAAACAAATTAAATTTTAAACTAGATCCCTGTCGTGCAATGTACGAGTTATAATTTTAAAAATTAATTATATAATATATTTAATTAAAATTAAATTATATTTTTATATTTAAAAGTTATTAAGTGTATAAGTCGTAATTAATTACAAATAAAATTTTATTTTTATATTTAAAAAATTCAAATGGATAAAAATTATGTTATAAATGAAAAATCATACCATTTTTTTTTCATACAGCAAAAATAAAATAATATATTTTTTTGACAACTTGAAATAGATAAATTTTATTGTTAATATGTTGTACATATTTTAATTAAGATAATTTAATTATTATAAAATATTTTTTTATTTAAATACGTCATAATTCATCGTAATTAAATTCATGAATTATTCTAAATTTTTAAAATAGGATTAAAAAATCTCAAGTTTGATATTGAATTTATACTCGTTACGATAATACATTTAGATTAAACATACAAATATTAATATTTTCAAGATTAAAATATCCGCAAACATGAACTCCCTTCTTAATAGACAATAACAGTAGTTGTACACAAATACATATATATTGCCAAAGAAAATGATGTTTAAACCTATATTTATAGCTTCTTCAACAATTAGAGATTATAGAAATGAAGAATAACACCCAATCAACGAAGTGTTCCTAGAGGCCTTTTATATGTATACCACCTAGAAATCAATATAAAAATTCCCAAATTGATGACACTAAGCACTGCCAACAGCCAGAAGAAGTTATAGACATGGCCATGATTCAAATTATCTGGTATCCAACCAAGCTTCCCATTTCTAGTACTCACTGCAGTAACAATTGTTACTAGCAAAGAGCTTAAGTAGCTGCCGAGCGCCACTGTGGTGAGCGATAAAGCTGAGCAGAAACTCCTCATCGCATCCGGAGCCTGCTCGTAGAAAAACTCAAGTTGTCCGATGAATGTGAAGACCTCAGCACATCCAATGATGAAGTACTGAGGGACTTGCCAGAAGATTGATAATGGCATCTCTTTAAGATCATAGTAATTGTGTTTTCTCACTATTTTAAGCCTTATGATCTCAAGAATTGCTGCAGCCACTACAGAAAATATTGATATGAATAGGCCAATTCCCATTCTTTGTAGCTGTGTTAGACCATTTTTATGGCCTGTGAACTTTCTCGTTATGGGGACGATGATTCTGTCGTAAACCGGAACCCAGAAGATTACGCTGAGGGTGTCGAAAATCGAGAGGGATGCTGGTGGGATTCTAAAGTTCGAGTTGCCTACACGAGTGTCCATTCGCTCACCTTGGAGTGGGAATAAGTTACCCATTTGACTATAAACTGCAGAGAATATTATACCCGTTGCCCATACAGGAAGTAATCTGATTATAGCCTTTAGCTCCTCAATTTGTGTGACTGTGCAAAGTCTCCATGGATCTACCGAGCTTCTTTTATTGTCCAATTGGATTTCAACGGCTGCCTTGTCGAAAAAACTAGAAATTACAAACAAAAATGAGAAATTTAATTATGTAAATCATTATTTTAAATTTGATATTTTTAAATTGTATATAATTTATACATTAACGAATCATATATGTTTTCGTTATAAATTAGATACTAACCTTAAATCTTTAGTGTGATCAATCTTCCGACTTCCTGGAATATTAGATTCAGAATCTGCAGTCTCATATAGAAGGGACTTATCAGCAGGCACTTCAATTTTGTATTTCCTAAGGGAAGCGACCACAACTTGACAAAGGCGAGTTACAGGGCTGCCTCCGGGCTTCTGATTCCGATACAGTCGAGTACCCGAAAAGAAACTTACAATAGCAATTGCCATGGCGATAGCAGGAATCCCGAATCCCCATCCCCAACTCACATTGTCTTGAACCCAAACGAGCACGGAAGCAGCGATAAGTGCACCGATGTTTATGGAGAAATAAAACCAATTGAAGAATGAGCCCTTGTGTTTTTTCTCAGTTTCATCTGTGTCATCAAACTGGTCTGCTCCATAAGATGAGACACAAGGCTTGATCCCTCCTGTGCCTAAAGCTATAAGGTAAAGTGCTACAAAGAATACTGCAGTTTGTGTGCTTGTTGGGTCCTTACAATTTTCTTTCGAGTAACATACAGGCCTTATACCATGAACAGATGCCGATAATGCCAATAGCGTCATGCCCTGCACGAATTTACGAATTTTGATAATTACGTTACACTTGTAAATTAATAATAATATAATTAATTTTTTAATTATGACACAAGAAAACGAACAATTTGACTCAAACCAACAATTTCATATAAAAAAACGAAAGTTTAATTTACAAACACATAAATAATCGAGAAACATATAATAATTCAATATCATATGACACTTGTACATCAATAACAATACAATTAACTTTTTAGCAACTGACACAAAATAAAATGCATAGTTTAACTTAAACCAACAATTTCATAAAAAAAAAATAAAAATTGAACTTACAAAGATATAAATGATCGAGAAATAGGCAATAGTTCAATATCAGATGAAACTTATACACTAATAACAATACAATCAACTTTTTAATAACGATACAAAAAAATATAAAATCTTATTCGGGATCAATAATATCATAGAGAAAAATAAAAAGTCAACTTACAAAGACATAAATGATCGAAAAACAGGCGATAGTCCAGTATCTTCCAAGATAAGCATCAGCCAGAAATGCCCCAATTAGTGGTGTGAGATAACATGTTCCTCCCCAATTCAAGTTATTTCTACTAGCAGTAGCAGTCGACTGATTCAGTCTATGCTTGAAATACAACACTAGATTGGTGCTCATCCCGTAAAAAGCCAACCGTTCTGAACACTCGTTTCCTATAAATCGAGTTCGGTATAATTTTTAATTTCATGCAGAAAAAACAAAAAAAAAACAGGTAATTGAAATTTAGTCTTTTATTTTTTTAATTTAGAAGAAATTAATACCAGTACCTATAATATAAGGGCAGGCTTTCCAGGTCCCAGTTGTCTTCTTGTTAGCCGGATTACCTTTGTAATCAACTGTTCCATCTTTTGTGTAGGTATCGTCTTCTTCCATGGCTTCCCAGAGAAAAAAATATTTTCTTTTCTACCAAACAAAATCTTGGAAATCAAGAGACAATTCTACAGTCATAGTTGAAGAAGAGAGAAAGAGAGAGAGCCAAGGAGATATAACCCAGCTTCTGGAAATATAGACAATAGTAAGTATCGTTGAGTTTAAAGGGATCCTCCATTAACATATGCATATGTGGGTGTACGTATTATATGTATATACTGTCTTTTGGCTTCTTTGTTATATATTTCATCAAATATTTTTTATTTTTATACATACAATCTAATTATAAATAATTAATATTATATGACTGACAAATAATTAAAATTTAAAACTAATTGATCGATATTTGTTACTGTCTGGCATTTCCGTGACGTTTTATTATTAATAAACTTAATTTATTAGCATCCAATAATTAATTCTCATAATTTTTTTAATTATACGTTTAAAAATATTTTTTTAAAAAAAATTTCAGTATTATGAGAAAATGTATATAATATAATTAAGAATTAATTCAGTTGATTCTTATCACGGTACAATTCAAATATTAAAATTTTGAATGCCTCACCCCGAGATAAGAAGTATTTTTAACATTGTCTAATTAAAACTTTATTTTGATATACAAAACCATTCACGATCTATTATAAAAAAATAATAATAATAAACATATTAATCATTTAATTAAATAATTATTTAATTAATTCTAGATTAATGGTACTCCAATTTGAATATATATATGTGTGTATATATTTATTGGCTTAATAAATTAATTAATCAATTGATTAATCAGAATGATTAGTGATAAGTGTGAACGTAATAATAGTCCACTTCCTCTGCTTTGAATTATACTCCGAAATGTTTTATTACAAAAAAGAATATATATTTACTAATTATTTGTTAATTCCTATTCGTGATTTCATACTCGATGTTGAGCGTCGTTTTATTGGGGCATGCTTGTCGTTTTGCGACATGTCTCTTTTAGCACACCCTGTAAGGTGGAATATCCTCGACGTTAACAAGATTCCACTGGATCACACCAAGACTGCAGCTATGAATGTAATATATGGATTCTGAATTTGATCCTGGATCAATTTTAATATTTTAAAGTATGTAAAAAAAATTATTTTTAAATTAATTTATTTTAATTCAATGTGAATTTATAAAAAAAATTAAGTTATGCATGAAATCGAAAATAATTTTAGAAAAAAGTGATAAAACTTTGGATTCGGGAGGTGTTTTTTTAAAAAAATTAAAAAATATGGGTCAGAGTGCAAATAGAAAAATTTGTGCCACGTAAGATCGCCTAATCAGAAATTCTGACGAATTGGAGTACACTACGTGGTAAAACACGCTGACGTCGGTACCACACGGGATGCCATGCTAGCGATCCTGTACTCCACGATTGAACGGCGCAAGATCGATCCCGCGCGCGTGGACAACTCGGATTTGTTCTCCATTTAAATGCAATTGGACGGTTAAGATCAAATCGCGATGGACGGTTCAGATTTATTTTTTCTTCAAACGCGATTGGACGGTGAAGATCAAATCGCGATGGACAGTCCAGATTCATTTTCTCCTTAGACGAGATCAGACGGACAAGATTGATCGCGATGGATGCCCAGATCAAAGCAGAATGGGTATAAAAAATTTGCATCACATGGAAACCCAAACCTTAGCCGTCAGCTCCCACCGAAGAAGAAAAATCAGACACCGGATAAGGAAGCTGACTGTCGACCGCCACTATACCGGAGCCACCGCTGACAACCAAAAGAGGTAAAAAATTTTCATATCCACTCGGAATTTGATTCCAAGCACCCCCATGACCAAATCAGAGTAAAAGGGACGGCGGATGAGCCAAAAACTGCGAGCGAAGCTCGGCAGAGCAGCCGCGGCCAAGGTACCAAAACCTCTCAATGAGCTCCTTTTCGATTTTCGTTTCACGCAATTTTTTGATCATTGTATTCACCGTCCTTTTCTATGCATATTGGCCCAAGAAAGAATCTCAGCCGTAA